GCTCCGCCAGACTCGTCCGCAACCTCCGACGAACCTCGTCCTCGGTCCCCCCTCAGAGCTCCGAGACCGTCGATGCCGTTCGGCACCTTCGTGAAAGACGACAATCCCGTCGTCGCCACGTCGCTGGACTCGTACCTTGACAACCCAGACAGCCTGAGCTGGAAAGACCGCGCGTCGCTGCTGCCGAAGACGGACGAGTACCCAGGCTGGGATGGCAATCCGTCGAAGCTGTTGAAGTACTTGCAGACGATGGACGTGTTCATTCGCGTCAACCAGATCCCCGAGAGGATCCTCCTCGCGAAGTTCCGCTCAAAGCTGTCCGGCGAAGCCGAGCAGTTCTACAGCCTCCGAGTTGGCGAACCCCCCATGCCCAACTCGTGGGAGGAGTGGAAAGACGCCTTCCGCGAGCGCTTCCTCGGCCGGAACTGGCAGCGAGAGATGCAGGAGAAGTACCGCGCGATGCAGTACACGGGCGAAGACCCCAACAGCTGGCTCGAGAAGTTCATCAATGCCATCCGTTCCGTCCAGCCCAATGCTTCGGGCGACGAGATCCAGCAAGCCGTCCAGCTTCGCATTCCCCAGCAGATGGCGATGAATCTTGAAGCCCTCCGAGGCCGCCAAGGGTCCGTCTCCCTGACGCAGTTCATGCGGAACTTTGAGGAGATGGCGACCCTGCAATTCCCGCATGGCTTCAGGCGTAGCAACCCGTCTCGCAACCCGACGACCTCGGACTCCTCCTCGAACCGTCCGCGTCCCTCGGACCCTCGAAGGACCGTGCCCAGCTCTGGTGCCGCACGTCCCGCTCAGTCCGCCCCCGCAAGTCGTCCCGCTCAGGCCTCCGCAGGCGGATCCGGACCAACTCCTCGCCGATGTTACATCTGCCAGTCGACGAGCCACATCTCCACCTCGTGCCCTCAGAGGCCCGCGGTAGCAGCGTTGGCGGATGGCGAAGATGAGCAAGTAGCTGAGGAGAGCGAAGAAGCGGCGCCTGAGGAAGCGCAGTGGGAGTCGTCTGATGAGGGCGAAGTCAACCACGACTTCAACATCGAAGCGCTCTCCTCCGACTCCTACTACTGGCTTGAGAACTCGCCGGAGCGGCTTGAACGCTTTGGCTGGCTTGACTTGGCGTGTCGACCACCCACGGACTCGCTCAGCGCACCCGAAGCCGTCGCCCACCCTCTCGACTACGTCCTCGCCCTCGACGCTCCTCTCGGCTTCCGAGCGCTCGACACGGCGGTTCTGTCAATCGGGCAAGGAGTCGAAGCTGCGACGGACGAGCTGGCAACCTCAGGCGCACCGGTGCTTGTCTCGACGAAGCAGGCCCTCCGACTCTCCTCGTCGGTCCAAACCTCGGACGCTCCGATGCGAACGAAGGCAGTGAGGGCTGGACATGCCCACACCACGGCGCTCTCGCTCACCACTCGCGTGTTGATCAACGGCAACCCCGTCACAATCTTCCTCGATACCGGCGCCGGACCCTCCGTCGCCGACGCCCGCGCTCTCGACCAAGTCGACGTCGGCTGGCGGACAAGGCTGCAGCCTATGCCTCACAAGACGTCGTTCACGGCGTTCGGCAGCAAGCTGAGCCCGCTCGGCGTCGTCAAAACAGCCCTCGTCTTCCCTCACCCGGCAGGCAACTTGCGCCTGAGCATTGAGTTTGCCGTTATCGAGACGGACGTCGCGCCCGTCCCGTTCATCTTTGGCATGGATTGGATGCTCGCTTACGGCGTCAACGTCATGCTCGAGCACGGCCCGTACTTCACGATCGGAAGAGCGAAGCAACGCTTCGCCATCGCTACGAAGACCGGCTTTGCGCTCCCTTACGTCGACCCAGACGAGCTTGAGGCTTGCTCAAACCGCGCCACTGTCGCAGCCGTCACCGCAGGACGGCCCACGACGGAGCCAACGGAGTTCGAAAAGGCGCTCGCCCTCGTGAAGGTCAATCCGGAGCTCAAGCCAGAGCAGCGTGAGTCGCTCTACGCTCTCCTTCGTAGTTACCCGATGGTGCTGGCGCACGGATCGAATCAGTTGGGGAACCTGACTGACGACCCTGGTTGCTCGATTCCAGTCGACCTCGACAACCTTCCTCCGCGCATCAAGCAGAACGCTTACCCAGCTTCGCCCCGCGCTCGCGAGGCAATGAAGAACTGCGTTAACGAGTTCCTCGAGCTCGGCATCATCCGCGAGTCCAAGAGCCAGTTCGCTGCGCCTGCGCTCATTGTCTTCCGTGGCGAAAAGGCTCGGCTCGTCGTCAACTACAAGGTGCTGAACTCGGTGACGACACCCGACGCGTACCCTATGCCTCGAATCGACCAGTCCCTGTACAGTCTGAAGGACTCGCTCTTCTTCTCGTCGATGGACGCTAACAAGGGCTTCCACCAGATCCCAATGAACCCGGCTCACACCGACCGCACCGCTTTCTCGACTCCCTTTGGGCAGTACGAGTACCTGCGGATGCCCATGGGCCTTCGCAACGCGCCGGCCGAGTTCCAACGACGAATGGACAAGCACTTCCACGACGAGCTGAGAGAAGGCTGGATGAACGTCTATATCGACGACCTCCTAGCGCACTCTCACACGTTCGAGGAACACCTCGCCCACCTCGAGCGCATGCTCGCTATCCTCGATGCGCACGGCTGGACGATGTCGCCCGCGAAATGCTTCCTCGGATTCTCCCAGATCCGCCAACTCGGCCACCGCGTCTCCGGCGTCCTCCTCGGCATCGACGACAACAAGATTGTCGCCGTCAAGACGTGGCCCGCGCCGACAACGGTCAAGGAGCTGCAGGTCTGGCTTGGCTTCACGGGTTACTTCCGTAAGTTCATCCCCAACTACGGCGCCATCACCCGCCCGCTCACGCGACTTCTCGGGAAGGACACGCCGTGGCAATGGACGAAGGAATGCCAGGAGGCGTTCGAGAAGCTCAAGGATCTCCTTCTGAACGCCCCGGTCCTTGGTCAGCCAGACTATCACCTTCCTTTCGAGCTCTCGACTGACGCTTCCGTCCGCGGTCTCGGCGGATGCCTCGAGCAAATTCAGCAACTTGACGGCGCTCCGCGCAAGGTTGTCATCTGCTTCATCAGCCGCCAGCTCAACGCAGCGGAAGAGAAGTACTCGATACCGCAGCTTGAGTGTCTCGCCGTCGTCTGGGCGCTGGAGAAGCTTCACGTCTTCCTCGACGGCGTGAACTTCACCGTGTGGACGGACGCGGGCGCGATGAAGACGCTTATGGACATGCAGAGCCCGTCGCGGCACATGCTGCGCTGGCAACTCGCGGTGCAGGAGTACCGCAACTTCATGAAGATCCGTCACCGCGCCGGCAAAGCGAACGGCGCCGCAGACGGACTCTCTCGCTGTCCCTTGCCGAACGACGAGTCGAACCCGGCAGCGGATCTCTCGACCGAGCCCGAACTTCGCGTCCAAGCGCTCTCGTTCGCGATGCTCGACGACTCGTTCTTTGACGCAATCCGCCAGAGCTACGCTGCCGACAAGGATTTCAGCAAGATCCACCTCGCCTTGCGTGAGTACGAGAAGGACCACAAAGCGCTCATCGCTTCTCTTCCCTCGAAGCTGAAGGCTGACTTCGAGGCCGGCAGGTTCCTCCTCCTCGACGACCTCGTCTATCGTCGGAAAGGCTCGCGCACGTCGCTCGTTGTCCTTGACAAGGACGTCCGCACGTCCGCGCTCAGCGCGTGTCACGACGAGGTCACGAGCGGCCACTTCTCCCTCGAGAAGACCTATGCCCGCTTGCAGCCGCTCGTCTGGTGGCCCGGGATGTACGACGACACGCTCGACTACTGCAAAAGCTGCGACTCCTGCCAGCGCGCGAACCACGCGACTGGGAAGCCGTACGGATTGGCGCAGACGATCAAGGAGCCGACGAAGCCCTGGGACATTATCAACATGGACTTCGTCGGACCGTTCTCCAAGGGCGGGAACGCCCAGTACGACGCTGTTCTCGTTGTAACTGACCGCTACTCTCGCCGCTGCCGTCTCATCCCTACCTTCACGGACGCCGACGCTCGCCAGACCGCCGCGCTCTTCTACACTTACGTGCTCAACGACGTGGGTGTTCCTCTCGGCATCATCTCGGACCGCGACAAGCTGTTCACCAGCGAGTTCTGGAGATGCCTCGCCCAGCTGTGTGGCTACAAACTCCAGCTCTCGACCTCCTACCATCCGCAAACCGATGGCCTGGCCGAACGCTACGTCCGCACGCTCGAAGACTCCTTGCGACGCTTCGTCGCGTTCGAACCCGTCTGGACAGACGAGAGCGGATTCTCGCACGACTGGACTGAGCTCCTTCCCGGGCTCGAGTTCGCGATCAATTCGTCGAGACACGCCACGCTCGGCAAGAGCCCCTTCGAGGTCGAGCGAGGCTACATTCCCCGTTCGATCTACATGCTCATGAAGAGCAAGATGCCGTCTCTCTCGCTCGAGCCGGCGTCCGAGTCTTTCGCCAACATGCTGCTCGCCTCGCAAGAGCGCGCTGCCTCGTGCATCGCTGACGCCGTCGCATACGCGCAGAAGCGGTGGGACGAGAAGCACGTCGAGCCGCCATTCGAAGTTGGAGACGAGGTGCTTGTCTCGACCAAGCACTTCCAGTTCAAGGGCGAGCGCAAGCTCATCCCGCCCTACGTCGGGCCGTTTGCCGTGCTCGAAAAGGTCGGACCAAACGCCATCCGCGTCGCCTTGACGGGAGAATACGCGAGGAAGCACCCAGTCTTCCCCGTCTCTCTCTGCAAGCCTTACCACCGCACCGAAGCCGAACGCTTCCCCGGCCGCCGCGAACCCGCTCCTCCGCAACCCGACCTCGTCGACGGCGTCCCGCAGTGGGTCGTGGAGAAGGTGCTCGACCAGCGCGCCGTGAAGCCAAGGCGAGGGCAGAAGGACAAGACGAGGAAGAAGGAGTTCCTCGTCAAGTGGGAAGGGTACCCGGAGAAGTACAACCGTTGGGTACTCGAGGACGACCTCCAGAACGCGAAAGAAGCCTTGCAGGACTACTTCGAGTCTCGCAGGCTGTCGAAGCGTAAGGAGGATGTCGAAGAGGAGGAAAGGCCGAAACAAGCGACCTTCGCAAACGGCGAAGTCCCTCTCGAGGCGACGCCGCACATGTACACGCGTTCGCGTGCACAGAAGTCGCCTTGAGGACAAGGCGAAGCTTTAAGGGCCGGCAGATGTCAGCGCGCAGCCCGTTGCCGCC